ATGCCTATTGTAAGAAACCATACTGCTTTGGATAATAGAACAGGTATAGAAGAGAAAATTTAAAAATCAGGAAAATCCATAAAGCGGGTATTTTGGCAAATTTCTTTTTCCTTTTTCTTTTTTTTTTTTTTTTTTTTTTTGTTTGTTTGTTTGTTTGTTCGAGACAAGGTTTCTCTGTAGCTTTGGTGCCTGTCCTGGAACTAGCCCTTGTAGACCAGGCTGGCCTCGAACTCACAGAGATCCGCCTGCCTCTGCCTCCTGAGTGCTGGGATTAAAGGCATGGGCCACCACCGCCTGGTGGCAAACTTCTATAAACGAACAAAGACCAAAATAAAAATACGAATAAATGACATTGTCGTTGAATGTCTGGGAAACACAAATGTACATGTAACAATAATTTCATCAGTATCTTGGCATCTAAATTGGCCTTTTCAGGATGTAAATGTTCAGTTTTTGGGAATTGAAACTTTATGTCACATAAAGCAGAACGCAAGACAGGTTGACTATATAGGACCAGAAGAACAGAGAGAAATATTAAAACCATATATGGCTAACATAGAAATGAATTTGTAGGAATGTGATTTATTACAGCAATGAAATATTCAAATGACCATTCCCCCATCTTAGAAACATACTATATGTTTCTGGGGAAAATACTACAAGATATTGTAAAGATCAGTGACCAACCATTCAGGTTGTACAAGAACAGGGTACAACAGCTGATGACCATTCAAAGGCACCAACAGCCCTACCTTTAAAGTAGTTGACAGACAAACCTGTATGGGTTAAGCAGTGGCCTTTAACAACACAGAAACTGCAGGCTGTAGAACAACTTGTACAGGAGCAACTAAACACTCAACATAATGAAGAACCAACCAGCCTTTGGAATTCTCTTGTATTTGTTTTTTAAAAGAAACCTGGAAAATGGAGAATAGTAACAGATCTAAGAACTGTTAATAAGGTGATTCAGCCAATGGATTCTCTACAGTCTGGAATTCCTTTTCCTTCTCTGCTGCCTAATGGATGGCCTCTTAGAGTTGTTGATTTAAAAATTGTTTCTTCACTATATCTTTCCAAGAAAAAGACAGATAGTTCTCAGCTTGCTAAGAAATATCAATGGAAGATTCTCTCACAGGGAATCTTAAATAGCCCTACCCTGTGCCAGTATTTTGTAATTCAGCCATTGGAAATGATATGTTAGCAATTTTCTGAATTTATAGTTTACCTTTACATGGATAACATTTTACCGTATGAGTCAAATGTAGATACTTTAGAAGGAATGTTTGAAGAAGTAAAACAAAAATGCTTTTTTAGTGAATACAAATTGCTTCTGAAAAAAATACATAGAAGAGATTTTATTTAGGCTATAAAATAGGATTACAAAATTAGACTTCAAAAGGTACAAATTAGGAGAGATCAATTGCAGATTCTTAATGACTTCCAAAGATTGCTAGGAGACATTTCCCATCTACGTTGCACTATTGGAATAAAACATGATAAACTGATTAATTTAAACAAAAACTTAGATGGTGACAAGGACTTAAATAGTCCAGGGAATTATCAGCTTAAGCTGAGAAAAAAAAATGGCTTTGATTGAAGAAAAATTACAGAAGTCACGTGGATCCTGTGGATTCAAATCTTAACTGCATTTTGGTCATATTACCCTCCAAATAGCCCCCTACAGGAATTTTAATGCAGAGGGAAAATACTCTCTTAGAATAGATCTTTTCACCACATAAACTGAATAAAAAATTAACAACTTATGAGGAAAAGGTCTCTGAGCTAATTCTAAAACGAAAATTGATACTTTTGTCAATTAGCAGGAATGAACCCAACAGAAATAATAGCACCTTTTAATAATGATGAAATTGACAAATTGTGGGAAGAAAGTAAACCCTGGCAAAGAGCTTGTAGTAATTTTGGGGGAGAGATTAACAACTGTCCTAAAAAGCAAGAGAATTCAACATATAAAGAAAACTAGCTGGATCCTTACTCGCATTGTACTGGACACACCAATAACTAGAGTCTCTATATTCTATACTGACGCAAATAAATCAGGAAAGGCAGGTTATAAGTCAGAAAATTTAAGTAAATGGATCAAAGCCCTTATAAAAGTCAGAATTACATGTGATTCTAAGGGATTTTAAAGAACTTCCTAACATAATTACCGATTTGCAATATGTAGAAATAGTTGTTTTGTATATTAATCTGCTTACTCAGTAAAGAATATTTATTTCTTGGTCTCTGAGAGAGTTAAAGACTAAATAGTTACAGTTTTTCTTGTTTACCAGATGCAGAAAGCAAATTAAGATAGAAAGTAAATTAGGTACAAGACTTTGGACTCACCAAGATGGCATAGATAATGTAGTATTTCCCCAAATAATGGAGTATTTTTCCCCTGAATTTGTCGAATACAAATGGACTAGACATTGCTGATGTATTTATTACCTTATATATTGTATATATTTATTGTACTTATTGTGTATAGTTTTTCTTGTATTAGAGACTTTTTATTTTAGACAAAAAAGGGGAACTACATTGGTATATGATTTGTGTTTTAATAAATAAACCTTACCTAAAGATCAGAGGGCAAAGCATCCACTATAGTCAGCCATACGAGTCAGGAAGTGGTAGCACACACCTTTAATCCCAGGACTCAGGAGACAAAGGTAGGTGGACATCTGTGAATTTAAGACCACCCTGAGCTATACAAGATCGATCCAGAAACAGATCCAGGTGATGGTGGTTCACATCATTAATCTCAGTGTTTGAGAGTCACACACTTTTAATCCCAGCACTAGGGAGGTGAAATATAAAGGGGAAGTGACAGGAACTCACTGGAGTGTAGAGTTTGAGGATTTGGGAAAACAGGATCTTGCCCTTTTGGTCTGAAGATTGGGTAGAGGTTAAAGGTCTCTCTAGTTATTGACTGCTTTGCTTTTCTGATCTTCAGGTGGAACCACAATATATGGCTCTGGGTTTTTATTATTCGTGCTACACTGAAAGAATCGCCATATTTTCTCCAATTTAGAGAGAAATCAATGTGCTTACTGTTATTAAGCTGTATTTTTCAACTGCTAATCTTAATCTCTTTTTCCTTGTATATTTATAATACTTTCTATAATCAGTATGTAGAAAGTAAAAGTATTCTAATTAATGTTTTGTATTAGCTTATAGAGGGACGGCTCTTATTAGCTAGGAGACAGTGAAATTCTTTAATCTTAGACTGTATGTTTCCTCACTTAAAAAAATTTACATTTTTATATAAATTTTGTATGTATGCACTTAAGGTATGTATGTATATGTGCGTTCATGCATGTGGAGGTTAAAGGACAGCTTGCAGGATTGGGTTCTCCTTTTATTATGCGTGTCTAGAGAGCAAACTCAACTCATCAGACTTGGCAGGAAGGTCCTTTTCCCAGTAGTCCAACTCACTGGCCTGAAAATAATAGTATCTTTCTCATAGGGTTGTGAGGAGTAAATGACTGGCATATAAGAACTATTTCAAAATTTTACCTAAAATATGTTTGTAATACTTAAAAATGTTATCTGAAGTCATATCTTTCTAATTTCACTGTATTATGGATGCTGTTTACATTATACATTTTTTTTTTTGCTTTTTGTCTCCAGAAAAATGGCTAAATATCAACACTGAGTTGAAATTTGCCACATCGTGAATATTTTTGAAAACATGAAACCAGAATGCTTCTGTTAGATAGCTTTGTGCCTTTTGTCCTACTAATTAAGGGAAAAATAGCAAGTTATAGGTATGATATGCAAGTGGTTTTCAGAGGTTGTTATATTTTGACTGTGCGGCGTACCTAAGATATAGATAATATTATCCTCATTTTCAGTTGAGGAAATAAAGACTCAAGAAAGTTAGGGAACTTGTCCCAGTTCTTGTTATGAGAGTCAGAGCTAAGATTTATTGATGTTGCTGTGGTTCTGGAGTCCCAATGCGTACATACTTTCTCATCTTTTCTTCCAGTGCCTCCAGATTATTAGAAATCCCTTAAGGTTACTAGATGGTTTATGCTTCAAAAAAAATCATAAAATTAACAAAATAAGCTGGGCATTGTAGTGCATCCGTATAATCCAAGCTCTCGGGAGGCTGAGACGGAGGATAACAAGTTCAAACCATTCTGGGATATGGAGTGAATTTTAGGTAACATAAGATTCCTCTCCCAAAACAAGGTAGCAAAATTATACAATCACACACTTTGATAACTATTTGTGTCCATATAGCAGGAAAGGTTTTACAGAATTAATATAAACTTGGAACATTTGTTACAGTATATGTATAGAAGGCATACTGCGTGGTACTAAAGGATTAGAGCACAAAACAGCTTCTTTCCTTTGTACTGTTTAACTCGCAAGATTTTAGACATGAAAAGATATCATTTAACTAGGAAGAAAATATCACATCAGCCAGGCATTGCTTTTCTCATTTTGAATTTCTTCTAAATTAGAAATCCTTCTAAAATAGAAATGTACAGCCAGCCAGCCTGATTATCTTAAACAATTCAAGAAAATAGCTAACAATATTGATTACAAGTAATTATAAAAAAATTAAGACATTGGTTTTTTTTAGATGACTAATAGTGACTAAAGGAAAGCATTGATGCAGGGTGAACGTTTGAATGTTAAACTTGGGAAGCCCATTCTGACTCTACCACTTGAGGTTATGGTGCACTTGGTTGAATCGTTTAATATCCTGTGTTTTAATTTTCTGACCTGCAGAAATAGGAATGCTGAGATTATACTTTACAGTGCCATACAGGATTTGTATAAATAGTAATCATGGGGAGTTTTGTGTGTTTTTGATTTGATTTACATTAAAATGAAAAAGCCAATTCATACTTTGAAAAGGTAGTTTAACCTCTGGAAAACATAATTCTTGAGTAACATTAATCAAATTTATATAAGAAGATATCTAAATTACAACTGAAGAATGCACATCCTGGTACAGCATAGTAAACAATTTTTTGTTATTATTTCAGAGTAAAGATGGGAAAACCCCACTACACATGACTGCTCTCCACGGTAGATTCTCCAGATCACAAACCATTATCCAGAGTGGTAAAAAGTATTTCTGTTTGTTTCTTTTATTTCTTCAATGTAGTTTTTTGGTTTCTATTTTTAATCTACATAGTGAATGGCACTGTGGAATTACCATAGCAGTGTAGATACTGTTAAAATTTATTTTAAATCTCTTAAAATGGTTAAAATAACATGAATATATTATTCATAGTTACTTCTATTCTTCTGAATTATTGATTTTATTTCTTTTTTGAGTAGATAGGAAGGTAGAAGGCTCCCTGCATATAGTTTTGGCTGGCCTTGAATTAATAATCCTTTTACCACATAACACCATCTTGTCCATCTATGAATTCTATTTCTACAGCAATTAGTGTCGACCTTTTCATTATTGCTAATTGGAAAACTACCTTTTTATGTATATTTTTAATATGTGATTTGGTTTTTTTTTTTCATTTTTTCCTGTTTGAATGCTTTGAAATGAACTCTTTTTAAGGTTTTAGTTTAATCTCTGCACTTTATTCTCTTGTGTTTGAATTATATCTAGGTACATTAAACTTTTTAGTATTTTTTATGGCTATTAATGTAAATCTGTGTTTCTTAGACCATGTTCTAAAGGAGTGTTTGTTAGTAGTCCTTAATATATAATTTTTATTAAAGGTTTTATTGTTCTCTGTAAGATTTTGTTTCTTTTTATTTTATGTACATGAATATTTGCCTGGATGTCTATCTCTGCACCACATGCATGTGAAGCACATGGTGACCAGAAGAAAGGGGTCAGGTTCCCTGAACTCTCATTACAGACAGTTGTAAACTTTGATATTGGTGCTGGGAAGTGAACCCAACTCTCTGGAAACAGTATCTTATACTCTTAACCAATTAGCCATTTCTCCAGCCCGTTGTTAGCATTTAAAAAAAAAAAAGTTCTGCTGAGTGGTGGTGATGCAAACTCTTAATCCCAGCACTCAGGAAGAAGAGACAGGCAGATTTCTGTGAGTTCAAGACCAGCCCCAACTACAGAGCAAGTTCCAGGATGCATTCCGAAGCTACATAGAGAAGCCCTGTCACGAAAAAAAACAAAACAGAAAAACAACACAATCTTTTATGTGTATATATTTGGTTAATGTGTTTGAGAAAGAGAGTGAAAGAAAAGCATACAGATGCTATAGTGTACATGTAGGGATCAGAGGACAGCTACAGATGTTAATCCTTTCCTTCTACCTTGTTTAAGATAGAATTTTATGATGTTAGCTGCAGACTGGCTGTCTTTTATTCCTACCTCCTAACTCATCATTTGGGCATTTGACTTACAGACAGGTGCTACCATACCCAACTTTACATGAATTCTGTTACTCATGTTTAGTAGCAGTAATTTGACCCACTGAACCATCTCCTCAAGAACCCCTTTGTTTTTTGTTCCTCGAGTTCTGCAAGGGGAAATAATAATAATAATGATGATGATGATGATGATGATGATGATGATGATGACGACATCAACAGCAACAATAATAATAGATCCCTGACCCAGAGAGTTGTAGAGTACTGTGTATGAGCAGCCGACGCTATGAAACATGGGATAGCTCTTAAGTACTGCTCTAAAGCAGTGTATTCACATAGTGGTCTTTAGACTCATTGCACCCTAGAACTCTTTCTGCTAGTTTAAAATATGTTTAAGTCCTATTCTCAATTCACAAAACTGCTTTAAATTTGCAGTTGATAACCCCAAGTAAATATGCTTTAAATGAAATTAATTAGAATTGCTATATCCATTAGTTTATACTTAAGCAACATTTTATTACATTGCATCTTACAGTGTTGACCAATCTCTATATAATCTAGTGTCTGACACTATGTCCTTTATCATAGGAGCTGTAATTGACTGTGAAGATAAGAATGGAAACACCCCTTTGCATATAGCAGCTCGGTACGGCCATGAGCTGCTAATCAACACTCTTATTACAAGTGGTGCTGACACTGCAAAGTAAGCAGTACTTACAGAGCTGGTAATTGCTGTCTGGGGAAGCACAGAAGCAAGTGTGCTGAGTTTCGTAGAGATTTCAAGTGGGAGCGTGCATTTTGTCTTCAACAATGTAGTCATTGGCTTCTTCGTTTGCTTTCTTCTTACCTTTTATCCTGACACTGGTATATCTTTTATGTTTTATGTATAACTTTGAGTAGCCAGTGTGGCATGTTTTTATATTTCTGTTCGTTTTTTCTCCAGCATAAATAATGCATGGTTTTGATAAGAAACTTAACTTTTATGATCCCTTTACTTTTCAGTCTAGAAGTTATAAAAATTGTACGCACCAAATGCTTTTCTTGGACCATCTATAGACAGTGATTTCAGACTGTGCTGTGCAGAGCCCAGAGAGTCCCTAGTTGCTGATACAAAGGGATCCCTGTACCCTAGCCCCATCCTATTTAAGTTGCCCTATATATTTTTAAAATATACATGGTTTTCTATACTGTGAAAGTCAAAACCATAATTAAATTGGTATTTCTAATTTTTATGTCACTTTATATGTATCAATGAACAAATTGTAAAGTTTTTATATATTATAGATAATATGCTGTGTACATTTTTTGCGATTTAAAAATATACATGTTTGCTGATATTTAAAGACTGTAGGTTTTTCAGATCTGTTTATTCAGCTTGGGTTTATTTTACGGGATTTAATTTTATTGTATAAGGATACATACAATATTCTCCTTACTTGCAATCAAGTTGCTTTCAAATTTTCACCATTATAAAATGACTGAGATGAACATTCTTGAGCACAGCACCTTGCAGAAATGATTTTAAATTGTGAAGTGAGATGGGGAAGAAATTTTGCTTCCTGAGCAAATACCTAGAAATATTTTGGTTGGGGAGAAAAATATCAATAACATAACCCACAGGTGCTGCTAAGCATTTGACATTAGAATATAGACTTCATAAATACACCATGAGTCTTGGTGATTGGTGGTGTTACACACCTTTAATCCCAGCACTTGGGGGAGAGAGAGGCAAGTGGATCTCTGTGAGTTCGAGGACAGTCAGGGCTATACAGAGAAACCCTGTCTTGAAAAACCAAAAATTAAAATAGACAGTGAGTCTATACTGGTGCTAGTACTAAGGTTAGAAAGATAAGCTTTGGGAAAATATAGCTGGGTAGTTAGTTATACCAATTTTCAATGACTGGCCAGACTTTTCTCCAAAGTATTAAGAGATTTCTTTTCAGCTAATTTTTACTTAAGTAATGTTTTTTAATAATAAATATATTTATATTATTGTATTTTCATGTGTTTAATGAAGTTTCTGTCCTATTAATTTAAGGCGTGGTATACATGGAATGTTCCCACTCCATTTGGCAGCCTTAAGTGGTTTTTCAGACTGCTGCAGAAAACTTCTTTCTTCAGGTAAGTGGAACCTTCTCAGACCAGTTTGTTTGTGTGTGCTTGCTCACACGTTCTCTCTCACTCTTCATAGTTATCAGCTCTGAGAAATGCTTTATTCTTATAGTTGATTCTCTTTGTTTGCTGGAGACATGGACTATGAAGTCTATAGAGCAGCTTCTATCTAGTGATGGTAGTGTCTTAACTTGCCCTATTTAACTTGTTCTAGAAGCAGTATACCTTATAATTGGCATGTTTCATTGGTTTGGGTCTTCATTTTGAGAGTTAAAAGTCATCATTTTATAGGCTCATGAAATTATTAATTTATTGTTAATACTTAGTTTAAAATGCTGTAACTAGTCGGCATGGATTTTTTTCGTATTACTGAAAACTATGATTGTTATTAAGTGCAATAAATTACTGACTGTATAGGATTTGTTTTTAAATTACTTTCTATTTCTCAGAATATAAGAAAGTTAAATATTAACACTCATGTTTACTGAAATAAATTAATGAAGTTTCAGTGAAAATATTAGAGTGAGACAGATACTCTTCTGAGGTTTGGGGGCTGTGTTTGTTGGGATGTATGTGCAATACATCTTCATTATTGTGGTTGTTTTATTTAAGTCTGGATCAGCATGTATTTATATGAAACTGCCCATTCCACTTTCATGAAAAGGAACATTAAAATCTCTTCTTATTAGTAATAATACTAATAAGTAATAAGTATAATACTTCTTATTAGTAATAATAATAGCCACATGGAACAAAGTACATGTCTTTTGGGGGGGAGAGATGATGAGTGGAGAGTGTGTAAAGCCCAGGCTGACCTTGAATTTGCAATTCTCCTGTTTCTGCTTCCCAAGTGTTCAGATGACAGGTGTGTACCATCATGTCTGACTAAAATGCTTTATTGAGATATTTGTGTACAATACACTTCGAAATTCACTTATTTAATGTATACAGTTCAATATTTATAATATGTTCATGTGGGTATATAACCATAAATTATATCAATTGTGGAATATCTTTAATTCCTATAATAGAAATTCCATTAGCATAATGTGGTATATTAGTTATCACTCATACAATTTCTATAGAATTACCCGACAAAATCTTTTATAAATAACATTTTGCACTTCATGTTTTTTTTTTTTGTTTTTTGGTTTTGTTTGTTTGTTTGTTTTTGGTTTTTCGAGACAAGGTTTCTCTGTGGCTTTGGAGCTTGTCCTGAACTAGCTCTTGTAGACCAGGCTGGCCTCGAACTCACAGAGATCCACCTGCCTCTGCTTCCCGAGTGCTGGGATTAAAGGCATGCACCACCACCTGGCTGCACTTCATGATCTTAAGGGTTCTGTTTTGTGTCTGTTATTTCTTTTTCTTGTTGACTATTATCCCATTGCTCCCTATAGCCTTTTAGAGATTAGAGTGGTTTGCTTGCTTGTGACAAGTTTTATACCATGTTGCCAAGGCTAGCCAAGACTCAGAGTAGTGGTTCTCCTGCCTTAGTCTTCTGTGTGACTGGGACTATGAGACTGAAGGTGTGAGCCATCATTCCTGGCATAGCCTTTCAGACAAGCAATATATAGCACTTGTAAAATTGCCAAACTTTTAGTGGAATTTTTTGTAATATTGTGCATTAGTAGTGTTTTTCTTTATACATTTTTGTACTTGTTAAGAATATATGCTAAATAAATGAATGAATGAATATATAAGTTTGCTTAAGATTTAAAAGAACAATGTGATATACGATGTTTTTTTGATAATAATATCTTAATGCAAAGTAATACATCTATGATATTTTATGAAAGAAGATATGTATTCATTCTTACAGGATTTGACATAGATACCCCAGATGATTTTGGCAGGACCTGTCTGCATGCAGCTGCAGCTGGAGGGTATGTTAATAGTGTTTTTATTTCTTTTATGAAGTCAGTGTTAGATTATACACTTAGTATCCCAAATATCTGGGTTCATTTCAGAGATCTCGAGAGACAGTTACCAGTCATGAAGGCTGTCTATCTCTTTGTTCCTCTTTATTAGTTCTGAGTCCCCCCATAATAGAAACTGAAACATACCTGGAGTTTAACAGAAGACAGTCCAGGGCAGCCTCTTGACCTTCTTTCAACTAAGTCATGAGTATTAAGTCAGAAAGAACAAACCTACAAAAGAAATTATTACTTTTTATAAGAGAAAACAATCCCTATACAAATAAAGGTGTTCATGAAATGATGAGAACATCCAAAATATTGAAAGTATTGTGAGTTTTCTAAATAATACTATGTACTCCACTGTAAATGGTACTTTAAAAATTGTATCCTCAGAGAAAAAAATGTTGATGATATAGTTACGTCTTGGCTCAGAAGAAGAAATGTGATTAGAACATTTTAGACTAAATTTTATTTATATTATTTTAGTTTAGGGTGTGTGTGTGTGTGTCCCTATTTTTGAGACAGAGTCTTGCTATGTAGCCATGTCCCCAACCTCAGCCTCTGAAGTGTTGGAATTATAGGCACACAACACCCTCCTTGTTTGGATTAAGTTTTAAGAAACACTATAGGGAAAGTTAGTTCCACTGAATGACCAGAGGTCTTGGTCTCTGAAAGCATTCTGTTATCTTACTGCTTCTGATAAGTTAGGTTTGTGTTAAGCCATTTAATATCACAAAGGACATTTTGTGAGCATTTTATTTCTAATGATAATTCCTTAATATTTCCCTGTTATTTCAAAGAACAAGTGTGCTGAACCAAGAATGCCACCATACAAGTCCAAGTTATAAAGATGAATTGAGAGCATATGTGACTCACTCCCTTGTTCTTCTAAGGTCACCAAAGGACATTTCACTTAAAACCTAATCTGTGTATAACTTGCCTATGAAAGCCAACAGGCATGGTTTCCAATTATAATATACAAAGTTGTTCAGGTTTATAAAAATTAAGTTGTAATAAGCATGTAAGCAGGTTCTACAATTTTAACTAAGGTTCATCTAAAACAATGAAAATATAGGAGAGTGGGGGAGATTAATTTACTATTATATGCTTTAAGGGTATAAGAATTTTTTGTTGTTTGTTTTTAGTTCATTTTAATTGAATATTTTTAAACTCCTTGAATTTAAGACATTTAAATATAAGTGTTGGCTTCCTACAAATCTCTTAGAATTGTTTACAAAGTGATCTTCCTTTTCTACAGAAATATAGTTCACTTATTTCTTTTGTGCCAGTATGTATGCACATAACTTTTTAAAGTGCTAATATAATAAATTTTATTGTTTTATTCTTCATAAAATGTAAAGTAAGTATCATTTTAAAATATTCATTTATGCTTATTTAAGCCTGCCATTTTTATTATAAAATCACTGATAATTATACTTTCAAACTTTTTTTTTCCCTGATTAGAAATTTGGAGTGCCTAAACCTTCTGTTGAATACTGGTGCAGACTTCAACAAAAAGGATAAATTTGGGAGGTAATCGGTTATATGACTCATTTAAAGCTAGGTTAAATTTGCTTACATAATGGCTTCCTGGGCCTTTAACTGACCTAAGATTTACATTTATGTGTCACAGCATCCTTGGGGTTGTAGTTACGATTACTAGAATCTGAAACCAACCTGGGGTTGTGATTTATTTTTCCAAGTGCACAGGATTGCATTTGATCCACAGCACTGCAAAAAGGAAAAGAAAAAGAACACATGTGTACACCAGCCAGCTAAGTCAGTGGGTTCTAAGTGTTTGTTCTCAGCCCCAGCTTTTTTGTTTGTTTGTTTTGTTTGTTTGTCTCTGTAGCTTTGAAACCTATCCCGGAACTAGCTTTTATATACCAGGCTAGCCTCAAACTCACAGGGATCCGCCTGTCTCTGCTCCTGAGTGCTGAGCGCTAGGATTAAAATTAATCCCACTGCCCCGCAGCTCCAGTCTTTTAACTGGGTTCCCCTTACAGTCCTTTTATTTATTTTATGTGTGTAGGTATTTTACCTGCTTGTGTGTTCATGGAAGCCAAAAGAGGAAACATCAAATGCCCTGGTACCAGAGTTACAGATCATTATGAACACTGAACAAAGATCCTCTGGGAAAGCAGCCAGTGCTCTTAACTGCTGAGCTGTCTCTCTAGCTCCTTACCCTTCTTGATATTAATTGTCCTCTTCCTATAATTTTGGCATAGAAACTTAAAAGTACATTGTACCAGAGTGCCTTCAAAGAATTCATAGTACCTAGAATTTTTCCAAGTCATCTTTTGTGAAAGTTTCTACTTCCCATACCTGCTTACCACTACTAAAAGGAAAAAATAGGTTACAAATATGTGTGTGATTTTTTTTTCTTATACACATTCATATAACCCACTGAATACAGTCTGCAGGAAAACAGCTATAAAAGGACAAAGTCTCATTTCTAGCTTTGTTGTTACTAGCATTTGTAGTAATAGCAGTTGAAGCTTTTATTATCTACTCCTATGTTTAGCAGGATTAGACACACAAAGTACATTAAAACCATTCAGGAAAGAATTAAATGCAGTTTGAATTTGTTTGAAAGATGTTGGTGGTAGCATAAGCAATATGTGTCAGCAGGTAAAAACTGCATAAGATGTGTGACGGGAAGGAAATGTGTAGGTGTGTATTAGTTTCTTGTAAGAGTACCAATGCAGAAGAAAAAGGAAGAATTGTGTATGGTAGGAAGTAAGAAATAAATAGAAGAAAACTAAGTGCTGTTTGACCCCATAATACTTTGAAGAATAAATGCACTAATTGAAGGAACAAATGGCCCACAGAATTAAATTTAAAGCTATTTTTTATTTGCAGTAATTTTTAAATTCCATACAACAAATAGTAAAGAGAATTTTTGAAGCATATCCTAATATGAGGTTGAAAACTTTGTATTTCCAACGTTAACTCCATTTTAAAAATCTCTATAATAGCTGGGAATCATGGCACATGCCTTTGATTCCAGCACTGGGAAATAGATCTGTATGAGTTTTAGGCCAGTCAGGGCTACATAGTGAGACCCTGTCTCAAACTAATAAATTGAAAATAGTATAATATCCAATAAGGCAAAATAATATTTTGGTATCATTTCCTTATAAATGTATTAGAGGGAAAGAATACACTATAAAAACTCTGAAATGAAATTACCATAATTTTTTTCTTTTAATGAAATCATAAAATCATCTTAGATGTATCATCATCTTGAAATAGTTACTCCTATGTTTAAAAGTATTCTGTGTGATTTTTAGTAATCTGAGAGAAATTAGTTATGATTATTCAGTCTTTAGAGATTAAAAGAACACATTAGCTTCTCTGAGTAGGAAGTTAGTTTGTAAACCTGCGCCTAGTTTATGCTTGAGAGCTCTGGCATTACTGCTGAGGCCTATGTGGAGTTGATAATGAACACTCTTGTTTGTGTCTGTGTTTTTCTTCTTTGCTTTTTCTACTCAAGACATGGACTGTGGGGCATTTTTGTTAGTGTAAGGCAAACTTTATTAAAATGAAAGATTTTATGTTTCTAAGCAGAATATAGAGGTTGTAATTGACTTGGGATTGTATTGTAACTAAATGTGTAGAATAAAGGTCAGCTATGCTTATGTTTACAAATATATGTTCTTGGCTTCTATATTTCCTGTGTTATTTGGTCACAAAAGATCTCCACTGCACTACGCTGCTGCCAACTGCAATTACCAGTGCCTGTTTGCTCTTGTGGGATCAGGAGCAAGTGTGAATGACCTTGATGAAAGAGGCTGCACACCCCTGCACTATGCAGCTACATCAGACACAGATGGCAAGTAAGTAGCATGTGGAAGGAGAAGATTGTTATTTCTATAAATTAGCATCTTCATATGGGGACTGTTTTACTGCAAATATTATTTGTTGTCTTTTTCTATTTTTATTACCATTCCCTGAGTCCACAGTTTGAAAAATGAAGACATTTCATAATTACTATTAAATTCTAGCTGTTGCTGTCTCCCAAGCATCTGGCCTTTAGTTAAAAAAATCTGGTAGAGGATGGTCTTATTCTTCCTGCAAAATAGTATTTGTTGTTTGTTTGTTTTTTGTTTTGCATTACAAGGTTTCTCTGTGTAGCCCTGGCTGTTGTGAAACTCACTCTGTAGATCACGGGCCTATCTTAAACTCAGAGATTTGCTTGCCTCTGCCTCCTGAGTGCTGAGATTGACATATAGTAGGTACATATTGCTTGAATATTGTTAGATAGCAGACCAAGTAAATGTTGGTCAAGAGTGATGGGTGAGAAGAAAAGGATAAGTGATATATAAACTGGCGAAAGAAATCCCATTCCCAGATCCATTTGTAGTGCCTCAGTATAAAATTGTTCTTCTTAGACTGAAATCCAGTGAAGACAGCAAATTATATCTTCAGTGTTTCTAGTATCCCTCGTGTGTCAGAGTCAATGAAGAGTAAACATGTTAGGAACAGTTAGTTATTCCTAGGGAGCAATGCTAAACACATAGTTCTGGGAAGTTACAGGTAACATAGAAGCTTTTGTTTTTCACTTTTTAAATCCTTTTCAAAATGTATATAATTCAGGCTGGGGAAATGACTCAGTAAATAAAGCACTTGACCTCTCAAGGTTGAGGACCTCAGAACCTGTGTAAATCCAGATTAGTAGTAGACATCTGAAATTCTAACACTTGTACCTTGCTGTGGGAGTCAGATAAAGAATCCCTGAAAATTCCCTAGCCAACTAGACTGAGATACATAGCCACAAACCACAAGAAACCTGTCTAATAGTAGAAATAAGGGCTGACACCCAGGGTTTTCTTCTAACTTCCACATACCTCCTATGACACACATAACCATACCCAAACGTGTGTGTACACACATAAAAGTTTTATTATTTATTATTATTATGAATGTGTATTATAATGTATGTATACATGCCACAGTGCACACATTTAAGTCAAGATAATTTTCAGGAGTCCAGTTTCCTTCTACTTGGGGACCCAACAGTTGAACTCACATTACTAGGCAATTCTTACTTGAAAAGATGCTGTTTCTAACATTGATAGTATTTTGTGAGAGTAATTACTGAGAGGCCTAAGTGGTTTTAGGCTGTTCAACATTAAGGGAATAAGAGTTAGAAGCTGGGGAGATGGGTTTGTAGGTAAGAACAGCTTGCTATACAAGCATAAGAACCTGAGTTATGATCCCTATCACCCATGTGAAAAGTTAGACATGGCTACACACACCTGTAACCAGGTCTGGGGGTAGAGGGCAGAGACAGGTGGGATCACTAGAGCTTGCTAGCCACTAGCCTAGCTGATAAGTAGCAAGCTCCAGATTCAATGAGAAATCCTGTCTCAGGAATAAAGCAGAGAGTAGTAAAGTGTCCTCCTCTGGTCTCTGCGTATGCATGGGTGTGCATTCCTACACACAACTTGTGTACATATGCATAAATTGAAAAAAAAGAAATAAGGTTACCATCACAGTGTGCATACCGACACATAGACACACATTAAATTTTTAAAACTACAAAGCTAAAATATCTGGCTATCTTATGAATGCATAATAACCGTTATATGAATGAGTAGACACCTACAGACACCTTGATAGGATACAATCTCATGAGGTTGTGGGGTTGGCAGTCAGTACTCAAAGGCACTTTGGGACCAAGTTTTAGCAAGTCCAATTTTAGTCTTAATAGAACACTATTTGAATTAGCAGAAACGTGCTCTTGTATACTGCTACTAGACAGTAGTTTACAAATTTGATATGTATGCTAACAGCTTACAAAACATTACACTAGCTGTAGATTGGATAATATCAGGTGTGAGCACCCGGTTCTGTGTCACCCTCTCCCGCACGAGTTTGGGGCAAAGGCCTGGGGATTGAAATAAAGACACACACAAAAGAATCCTGGGTCATTCGTCAAGAGGTGCCGAATGCCACTTTATTTAGCTTTCTGCAAGGTTAACATACCTTTGCCCCAGAAGAGGAATTCCCTCCCAAACAGAGGGGAAACTGGGTAGGGAATTCCTTCCCAGGCAGGGGGTGGAGAGCACTGGGGGTGGAGAGCAGCAACAGACAGAGGACCAAGCGGAAAGAGAAACTGGCAAACTGGCGCCTGTAGGAACTCTCCCGGGCAGGTGGGAAATTGCCATACCAAAGATAAAACAAAGCCCTACAGCTAAATCACCAGGCTATGGCAGAGATAACAGAAACTAGCAGGAAGCTTAGCTGGCTGACCAGAACTGTCCTCAGAGACGCACCCCAGGGAGTAAGGGGAGACAGGGCCCTACAATCAGGTTGGTAAAGCTTTTGTGAGTTTTATTTATTTATTTATTTTTATTTTTCCATTAAAAAATTTATACTTTCTTCCCTCCCACTTCTCCACTCACCCTCCACCCTCCCCCTCCCTGCTTGAGAGAGGGCAGGAAACCTTGCCCTGTGGGAAGTCCAAGGCTCTCCTCCTTACATCCAGGCCTAGGAAGCTGTGCTTCCATATAGACTAGGGTCCCAAAAAGCCAGAACATGCCATAAAAACAAATCCCAATGCCATTATCAATGGTTTCTCAGTCAGCCCCCATTGTCAGCCACAATCAGAGAGTTCTGTTTGATCACATGCTCATTCAGTCCCAGTCCAGCTGAATTTGGTGAGCTTCCATTAGAACAGGCACACTGCCTCAGTTGGTGGACCAACCCCTTGTGGTCCTGACTTCCTTGCTCATCTTCTCCCTCCTTCTGCTCTTCAGCTGGACCTTGGAAGCTCAGTCTGTTGCTCTGACGATAGGGTCTCTGTCACCTGACAAAGATTTTATTGTGATATTCGAGATAATCATCAGTGTGATAGTGGGGCAAGGACAGTTCAGGCACCCTCTCCTCTGCTGCCCAAGGACCTAGCTGGGGGCCCATGGACACCTGGGATCCCCCCTAGAGCCAAGTCTCTTTCCAACCCTAATCGTCTTCCCTGCTCCTATATCTGCCCTTCCTCCATCTCCACCCTCCCTCTCCCCCAAGCTCTTGCCAGTCTTTCCCTTCTCCCTTCCCTCTCCCCCTCTCCCCTTCCTCCAACCTAACCTCCACTTCTACCCCCACCCCCATGCTCCCAACTTTTTCCTAGCAATCTTGTTTGCTTCCAATTTCCAGGAGGATCTATATATGTTTTTCTTTGGGTTCACCTTGTTATTTGGCTTGCCTTAGATCATGAAGATTTAATGAAACATAAAAGCAGTAGTATCATAGTTACATAAAATTTTTATGCATTAATTTAGCCTGTACTTTTGAAACAAAATTAAGTTTTTGGGTTTAGAGAGTTAGACCAAGTTAAAAAAATGATAGTAAAAACAATTAACAGACTTACTGCCTGATGTGTAGTTGTATCTGACATATATAATAGCCCTGTTGTATGAAACCAGTGGTCATTTATACTTCTTCCCAAATAGTTATGTAAACAAGCCCTTTCATGTTAAAAGCCTGACCAAAAAACACAAGCAGTTATATCTTGGACATAATACTTACATTATGTGACCATGCATATAAAAATTTTAATGACAGGAAGAGAACAATTTGTTGACAGGTTTCTGTCCTGCCTGGTCCTGCAGCTTTTCAGTCTCAAAGAAACACACAGAGGTCTACATTAGTTATAAACTGGTTGTCCTATTAGCTCAGGCTTCTTAATAACTCTTGTAACTTATATTAGCCCATAATTCTTGTCTGTTAGCCATGTGGCTTGGTATCTTTTATAAGCAAGGCATTCTCATCTTGCTTTCTCTGTGTCTGGATCACAACTGCAGACTGACCATTTCCTCTTCCCAGAATTCTCCTGTTCTCATTGCCCTGTCTTCCTGCCTGGCCACCCCACATATACTTTCTACCTGGCTTCTGGCCAATCTGCATTTTATTAAAATACAAGTAACAAATCTTTACAGGGTACAAGACCTTTGTCCCACAGCAACAATTACCAGTATTTAATCATTTGTTTAAAATGTAGGTGGAAAGGTCAGGCATGGTAGGAGGCAGAGGCAGGAAGATCTCTTAAGTTCGAACTAGCCTGGTCTATATAGAAAGTTCTAGGACAGCCAGATCTACATAGAGAAACCTCGTCCCAGATGTATAATTAAACAAAATGTAGGTGGATAACTATATAAAAAATATATTCAATACTGAAAGTATAAAAAGAAGATTATGAAGCTCCAGCTTTCATTCCAAATGGTTATTCTTACTGTATAGTATAGGCAGACATTTTTGTCCTACCAGCCACTCCCAAACAACCACATAGAGACTTATAAGCCTGACATTTATAATTAATAACTCAAACTTGTTTTTAGCTAGCTCTCTCTTTTTTTTTTTTTTTTATTTGTTTGGGTTTTTTTCCAGACAGTGTTTATCTATGTCACTTTGGTGCCTGTCCTGGAACTAGCTCTTACAAACCATGCTGGCCTCAAACTCACAGAGGTCCGCCTGCCTTTGCCCCCCGAGTGCTGGGATTAAAGGCATGTGCCACCACCACCCAATTAACTAGCTCTTATAACTTAAATTAACCCATTTATATTAATGTGTGTGCTGCCTTGAGGCTCGTTAATCTAATGTGTACACTTCCCATTCTGTTCACTCTGTGTCTTATGATGTCTCTTTAAGACTCCCCTCTTCCTTCTTCTTTACAACATTCTCTTCATCTGGTTCTCTCACCTAACCTTATCCTGCCTAGCTATAGGTCAGTCAGCTTCTTTATTAAACCAGTCACAGTTACATATGTTCACACAGCATACATGAATATTCTACAGAATAGAAAAGTTTATTGAATTTTATAGTCTTTCTTTAAGCCTGGTTAATTTTGGCATGTGATTTTTGTGGGTGTGTGGTATTTTTTTATAATAAAGTATTTAAATGTAAAATTTGGAATTTTCATTTTTGCTGTTATTATATATAGGTGCCTGGAATACTTACTAAGAAATGATGCAAATCCTGGGATCCGGGATAAGCAAGGATACAATGCAGTTCATTATTCAGCTGCATATGGTCACCGTCTGTGTCTTCAACTGGTAAGATTTATGAATTCTCATGAGAACTAGTGTGAGATTTTTAGTTTAGTAGTATAACTGAGACTTAAGTAGTTCAACAAACATTTAGTTTTGTTCTTTAACATTTTCATACTCCATTTCCCTCTTAAATTCATAGTTGCTTCAGTAAGATACCTCTCATTCTCTAATTTTCTTTTGAAAAAGGAAAAACAGCAGGGCAATGGTGGCAGACACTTTTAATCCCAGCAGAGGCAGGATCTCCGTATAGGCCAGCCTAGTCTATAAGAACTAGTTCTAGGATAGCAACGGCTGTTACACAGAGAAAACCTGTCGCAAAAAACCAAACCAAACAATAACAAAAAGGAAAAACAAACCACTGAATCCAGTATGGTAGCACATACCTATAATCCTAATCCTTAAAAATCTAAGGCAGAAATATTTTAAATTTGTGTCTCAGTGAGATACTGTCTAAATGATGGTGCATTTCATCTCTTGAGGGGAGTCAGGCACAATGGTGCATCTCTGCAGTTCTACTTGGGAGGCTGAGGAAGGACACTGACTTAAATCCAGGACAACATAGTGAGAAACTAACTAAAAAAAAAAAAACAGATCAATCTTTGAAGAAGACTATGAAAATTTTGTGTTTCTTGAGATGGTCGCATATCACAAGACTGGCCTCAAACTAGCTGTGTAACTGAGGATGACCTTGAACTGCTGAACCTCTACATTCTGAATCCTTAGCTTGCACCATCCCACCTAGTTTTATGTGGTCTGGGGATTTAGTTCATGTGAGCATACTACCAATTGAGCTATATACGAGCCTTCAAATCTTCCTATCGTTCAGCTTCTAGGTCTATTGCATTTATTTCTACCCCTTTAAATAAATATTCCCCGTTTTTAATTTTATTGATTTCTATTGAGCTCTACATTTTTCTCTGCTCCCCTCCTTGTCTCTCCCCTCCCCTTCCACCCTCTCCCAAAGTTCCCATGCTCCCAATTTACTCAGGAGAGCTTGTCTTTTTCTACTTTCCATGTAGATTAAATCTCTGTATGTCTCTCTTAGGGTCCTCATTGTTGTCTAGGTTCTCTAGGATTGTGATTTGTAGGCTGGTTTTCTTTGCTTTATGTTTAAAAACCACCTATGTACATGTGATGATTGTCTTTCTGGGTCTGGGTTACCTCATTCAAAATGTTTTCTAGCTCCATCCATCTTCCTACAAAATTCAAGGTGTCATTCTTTTTTTCTGCTGTGTAGTACTCCGTTGTGTAAATGTACCACATTTTCCTTATCCATTCTTCAATCAAGGGGCATTTAGGTTGTTTCCAAGTTCTGGCTATGACAAGCAATGCTGCTATGAACATAGTTGAGCACATGTCCTTATGGCACGATTGAGCATCCTTTGGCTATATACCCAAAGTGGTATTACTGTGTCTTGAGGAAAGTTGTTTCCTAATTTAATAAGAAATCGCCACACTGACATCCAAAGGGGCTGTAGCCGTGTCTTACTTGAAAAAAATAAATCCCCTGAGGGAGTTACATTTTCCTCATGTGTTTAGAGAACTCTGCAAGGTCCTTTTGTTTCCCAGTTCTTCTTAATAAAGGACAATCTACTTCTGCGAAGGAAGTTTGAATTTCCCCCGTGATCTTGTCCTGGAATATACACATGATTCAGAACCCTTCTTTGTCAAACTAGAAAAGAAGAAATGAGTTAAAATATACTGCAGTGTATATACTCCTTGTTTAGGTCAAAGCTTCCTTTGTAGACATGTATAAGCATTGCTTCCCTTCAGTAGGAAATAAAACTCAAGGAAGGCATCTAAGAAGGTCAACATATTTCATATGGCCATTATTATGCTACTGTAAAAATAACCCATAATTTCATAGGTTACTATGCATCTTTAGAATAAAATTATAAGCTTTGTATGTAGATTTGTTGTCTGTGTAAAAGACTTCTTTTTGGATGCAAAGAAATCATGGGTTTAAAACAGAAACTAACAAAGCCCTATATCAATAAAAATGTTAAACATCTTAATATATATGAGTAACTTCATAAAATGTCATTTTTTTAATTTCAGATTGCAAGTGAAACTCCTTTAGATGTTGTAAGTATTAATTGATTCCCCCCAAAACATTTAAAATAGTGTATTTCTTTATTCTCATTAAAACTAAAGTTAGACATATTTTCACATCATACCCCTGAGAACAGAGGTGGTGACAAAAATGTATATTCAAGAAAGGAAGGTATTTACCTGATGGAAGAAGGTTTCCCCAAACACCTGGTTGATAAAGCTCAGAGTCTGTGATTCTTACTATGCTTTTGTGATTATGCTGTTTTGTGAATTTGCTGAGTTATTGACATACTTTAAAATGGAGTGAGGGATAGGAGGGATAACTACTACTGATTTATTTAAAAGTATCATTTCTATCATTTTTAAATGCCTCTCCTTTTTTCAGTTAATGGAAACCTCGGGAACAGATATGTTGAGTGATTCAGATAATAGAGCAACAATAAGTCCTTTACATTTGGCTGTAAGTACTGCCTTCATAGCTAACTTTAATGGTTGCTTCACTATGGATCTCTGGTATATACATGTGTTGATTAGTGTAGTCATTATCATGGAATTAAAACTTAAAGAACTTTTTTAATCCAGAAACTTTTTTAGTGCATTTTTGGTTATCTGCTTCTTACTTTCCTCTTAAGTCTTAGTCCTTGGCTTCCTCAAGCCCTGCTTTTCAGTGAAAGAATCTGACTTTGACATAAATTTAAGATGTGCTACCATAGTAGAAGGACTGTAGTTTGTTGAGCAGATTATATAAAACCACATAATTTCTGTAAATTTCAACAATTCTTGGCTTGCTCATGGCCATGGATGCTGGCTAATAGTAAGGTCAGTGCTATTTCACTTGTTCATTGCTACAAGATTGGGTATATACGCTGTCATTCCCATCCATTTTCAGATTCCTCTGAGTGTCAGTCACCAAGACAAAGAGGTTAGGAAGTATTAGGTAAAACCTGTCTTAGCTTTTCTATACTGAAAGAATTTATTTTGAAGCCCATTTCTGTAGAGGACTTTGATCATCAAGAGACCAGGACACATCACTAGCTGTTTATGTGACCTCTGGTCTTAAGAATAGTGTTTCATTTAACAGGACCACTAAAAGTTCAGTAACCTATTTCTTTGTACATGTTCTGTAGCTTTTTATCTTAATAAATGCAGTATTTCTCTTCTGAATTCTTTTTGGAGTGTCTTATTTCATTTAATATACATTCCCCAAAGTTCATCCCTGTGAGGTTCCTTTACTTTTGAGCTTACTTATGTTCATACTGCAGTTTATATTCCAGCTTATCAGTGGACACTTAATGTTGCTTCACCTCTTGAATGTATAAGTGCTGGTGTGTTAGGTTTTTAAGCTGAAATGGACAGTTTTGCAATTTAATGATTAAATTCAATGAAATGTGATTATATTACAATTTATTACCATTTAACTTTTTATATCTAATCTTGAGGCTTTCAGAAATTAGTTAAAGTAGTTTTTCAAATTAATATTATTATTATTTTTAAACTCAGGTTTTCTGATAACCTTATAGTGAGACACTGGAGTGAAGTTTAAGGAAAATGTTATTAAACTTAAATGGTGTTAGACACACAGGCTTTTCCTTTAGTCTTGTAGAAGAAGTGATAAGGAGAAGAGCCCTATAAAAAAAGCATCATGATTCCTAGTCTTCATTTTCTCTCCTCTTTATTTTTTTTTTAAATACTATCTTCTGTGTATCCAGTGAAATTCTTCAAAGTTCATTCTTAGAGTAGCATGAGTTCCACCTAATACTGCCATATAAAATTGGGTGTGATCCTAAAATTAATTCTGTTGTCTACACTCGTGTTATCTTTGAGATAGTTAAGCTTATAGATAAACTTCCAGCAAAGCCAACCTTTCTCTTTGCTTGTACTTCCTGACTTTTTCTTTCCTTTTAGAGTGGACACCCTGAACCCTCTGTACCCCATTTTCAGTCCATCTCCTAAATGACTTTTGATTCTGTCCTACCATTACATGAGTTCTGGAAATCGAACTTAAGTCACCAGGCTTGCAGAACAAGTGCTGTTACACACTAATCCATTTCACTGGCCCAATTTTTGGACATTTTGCTCAAGAAATACTGCTTTATTGTCCTTTGAAGCTTATTGCTTTATTTCCTGTAGAGTGTTCAGTGCAGTGTCAGTGCAGTGCCACTGTTCAAGGTGAACTGTCTGGGACACTTTCTTGTCACTAGCGTCACAGCCAGAGCTTCCATGCCTGCCGTGATTCAGACATTGTTACCTCCTGCCATTTGAGGCTTTATTATTTACAGAATATATGTTTCTTAATATGGGAGAGTGCTGGTGATTCTTATGGAAAAAAATCTATGATTTAAACTTTCTGATTTCTCAATATAAAAGTTTGTATTATCTCAGTTGTAACAATGTAAAAATGAATTTGCAGGCTGGAGAGAGATAGCTCAGCCATTAAGCACTGGCTGCTCTTCCAGAGGTCCTGAGTTCAATTCCTAGCAACCACATGGTGGCTCAAAACCATTCATAATGAGATCCAGTGCCCTTCTCTGGTGTGCAGGCATACATGGAGGAAGAGCTCTATATACATAATAAATAAATCGTTTTTTAAAAAAAATGAATTTGTTTACATTTTCCAGAATATTAGTGTACTGGGCATGTAACTCAGTGGTAAAACTTGCTTACTTACCTGGCATGCACGAGTACTTAGTTTATATTCCCAGAACAGAGAAAGAGAGAAATAGAAACCTAATTGGGGAGTCGGTCTAAAAATTGTTTAATTTATATATTTTTATTTCTAGGCCTATCATGGTCATCACCAAGCCCTGGAAGTGTTGGTACAATCTTTGTTAGATCTTGATGTAAGAAATAGTAGTGGTAGAACACCCTTAGATCTTGCAGCATTTAAGGGTCATGTTGAATGTGTGGATGTACTCATTAATCAGGGAGCTTCAATCCTCGTAAAAGATTATGCTTTGAAGAGAACACCTATCCATGCAGCAGGTATGCCAAATATTATACTTGATAATGTTTATAATCCTAATGTACTTTTTCATACTGATATTGTAGTTGTGTTTACTTTTCATGTTAAGTAGTCAAATGAGATTGTATTCTGAAGGAAAAGCAGCACTTTTATAAAATCATATACCTTTGGGATTGAATTTATGAAATAAAATATTTAGATTATCACTAGAGTTTAGTGTTTTGTACTCTTTCCTTCCTTGCTTCCTCTCCTTCCTTGCTTGCTTCCTTCTTTCTTTCCTTCCTTCTTTTCCTTCTTTTTTTTTTTTTCTTTCTTGTTTTGTTCTTTGAGACAGGGTTTCTTTTTGTAGCCCTGGTCAAAATCTGTAGACCAGGCTAGCCTCGAACTCAACAGGTATCTTTTTCTTTTTTCTAATGGAAATATTTTAGATTAACATGTGCTTTCATGCCAATCATTAATGTTTTAAAAATAAGTCTTTTTATTTTTAAGACTTATTTGAATTTCATGTGTATGAGTGTTTTGCCTGCATATATATGTGTGTGCCACATGTATGCCTGGTGCTCAAGAAAACCAGAAGAAAGGGTCAAATCCCCCAGAACTGGAGTTGTGGATGATTGTGAACCATCATGTGAGTGTTAGGAATCAAACCTGGGTCCTTTGCAGGAGCAGAAACTCTCTTAACTACTGAGCCATCTCTCTAACCCTAATAGTCTTTTACTTATTTTACTTGTTACTGCATTAAACCCTCAGAAAAAATTCACAAAATTTTAACTTCTGCCAGAACTATCCCAAGTTGTAGTTTCATAATTTTGCCAGTGTACTAAAAAATGCAGGGATATGTAACCAAGTTATTGGTATGTAGGAAAAAGATTGACAAGGGGAAAGAGAACAATCATAGAAATAGAAGACACAAGTTTCCCAATTCTTTATAAGAATTACTACAAGGCACAGTACTCATTTGCAATAACCAAGACTGGTACAACTGAAAAATAGTAGCCAAGTGTTTTTCTTAGTTTCAATCTTTATGTGACCAGATTCAGTTCACTTTGTGTTTATGGAATATTAAGAACCCATTCAAATATATGACTTGATTTGTACTTTTTTGGGGGGGAAGATACATTTTAGAAGACTATAGAAATATAGAACACACTAACTGTTGATCCCAGAGCAGCTTTTAAGAACTATTTGTTATTCAGACAAGGTTTAGAGACAAATAATGAGCATTTAAACTCTCAAATAAAGATGTTTGTAGAAACTATCAAGTGGTATAAATAAGAAGTCATTTTCTATTATAAATAAGATGGAGTCAGCTGGGCAATGGTAACACATGTCTTTAATTCTCCTAGTGGCAAGCTAAATAAAATGAGGATTCTGTTAACATGTGGGAGAATGAAGGGGTGGGAACAGTATATGTATTCCGCTTGCTGTGTGCAGACAAGTCCCTTAATAGCAAATACGGTACAAAACCTTCTTTATACACATAGTTGTTGTTCTGCTTCTTGAATTCAGTAAAAATGTCCCCAAATTGTATTCTAAAAGATGTGCTATCTCTAGTATATTTTTGTTTAATGGTATTTATTAAAATTATTTAAATTTTTTGATTTACAGCAACAAATGGCCATTCAGAATGCTTACGGTTATTAATAGGAAATGCAGAACCACAGAATGCAGTAGATATTCAAGATGGAAATGGGCAGTAAGTTTGAATAATTTTTAGATTAACTTTTTTTTAATGTCTCGTATAAAACCGGCACTCCTCCATTTTACAATCTTACTACCTTACCGCCTCACCCTTTTTAATGCTTGGTACAGGCATGAGTCATTATTCCTTGCCTTTGTTGTTAAAATACTAGATGTTCTAATACTCTGGCCCCTATTTTTAGTAAATTCGTAATAGTTTGTATACTGGAGAAAGGCAAGCATATATTTAGTTTTTCCTTTTAAACACATAAAAAGTTATGTCACGATAGTGCGTTTATAGAAAATAAGCCATCGCATCATTGCTGTTTTAGAGTTTTGTAAGTGATAACACTAAACCTAATTCTGTTATTGTTCAGGACACCTCTTATGCTGTCTGTTCTCAATGGACACACAGACTGTGTATATTCACTACTGAACAAAGGAGCAAACGTAGATGCCAAAGATAAGTGGGGAAGGACAGCATTGCATAGAGGGGTAAGCCAAAATTAAATTAATTAAATTTGGTTCATGGTGCCCGCATAATGTATTTAATACACCCAAATTGTTTTGCAGGCAGTTACAGGCCATGAAGAATGTGTAGATGCATTACTTCAACATGGTGCTAAGTGCTTACTACGGGACAGCAGGGGTCGGACACCTATACACTTGTCAGCTGCCTGTGGACACATTGGAGTTCTTGGAGCCCTTTTGCAATCAGCAGCATCCGTAGATGCAAATCTAGCCGTAGTAGACAATCATGGGTATACAGCACTTCACTGGGCTTGCTACAATGGTTAAGTATCGTATAAAAACTTGCACTGAGTGCCTGCCTACTAAGTACTAATAAGTGAAAACAAGCAACTCAAAATACATTGTGGTATTGATGACAGTAGCATATTTATAAGTCAGGCTTAAAATGTAAGTAAGATTAGTGGAAAGACTAGAAATAATCTACTCTCTAGTTGTATCTTACTCCTGTCCTTTATCATGCAAAAGACAGGTCACCAGTTTTCAAGTGTTTGAGATAAGCCTTTGTGTTCTTTTCCTTTCAGCTCTCTTGGATTGATGTTTAATGGGTATAGTATAGTAGCTAAAGATTGTACCTGAATCAAAAGAGTTGCTGTATATTGTCATTCAATTTTGATTTGTTTTTATACTACAAATTAACATTTTATGAGTATAATAACCTGAGAAAGTATCCACAAATGTGAATTTTATGTAAAAATCAGCAAGATAAACTTTTTAAGCAAAATTTTTTGGAGGTGATGGGTTTCAAGACATGGTTTCTCTGTGTCGCCTTGGCTGTCCTGAAACTCTGTAGGCCAGTCCGGCCGCAAAAAGAGATCCGCCTACCTATGCTTCTCAAGTGCTGGGATTAAAGGCGTGTACCACCACTGCCTGTCGAAGGCAGAATTTTTTATTGGATGATCTTTTTCTTAAAGTGATGGGTGACATTCCATGTCATACAGGAAATGTATTTCCCAAGGTAGAGCATTTACTTGACTTTTGGAGGTTTACTCTCATAGAAACAGAATTTTACACCAACAGCATGCCTAGTTGCCATTCAAAACAAAACAAAACAAAAAATAAAAACAGATGGGTCTGATTTTTTAGAAAAGCAAAATTGTAGTGATTTTGAATTGAGCTAGAAGAAATATGTTAGTTCATGCTGTAAGAGGCTATGCAGTCTGAAATTAATGCCATATTTTTAGCCAAATGCCTGCTTTATTATTTGACATTACATAAGTGGAATACATTAAATGGTTTAACTGATTATTAATTTTTGTACAGAGAAATGGGAGTACTCTAATCAAAACAAGCTTTTCTCTCAATGAAATAATGACCAGGTTTTAGAAGAGAATTGACTATAAAGTTACTGAGCTTAAAGTTCAGAATTTCAATTTATTGTTCCTTTCAAAAACTAATCAACTAGATGTTCTTAAGCACCCTCAGAAATAACTTTCTGAACCAGGCAGTGGTGGCACATGCCTTTAATTCCAGCACTTGCCACAGACGGATCTCTGTGAGTTCAAGGCCAGCCTGGTCTACAGAGAGAGAGTTCCAGGACAGCCAGTGCTACACAGAGAAACCCTGTCTCAAAAAAAGGGGGGGGGGTGTGAAGGAAGGACGAAAGAAAGAAAGAAGGGAGGAAGAAAGGAGAGAGAAAGAACTTTCTGAAATACTAAGAGAAATAATGAGATTGTATTTAGATTAGCTTGGTTCTACCCAGTGCTGATCCCTGGAGATAGCAGATAAAGTACTCTATAACTAACTCAGATAGTGGATCTCTAGCCCTTGGTCTAAGGATTTGAGCTATGATAATGCCTGCATTGTTAATGGTACTTGAGAAGTTTAAAAATCTTTACAAGAGCAACTTTTTAAGGGACCTGCAAAATGACTTAGCAAGTAAAAGTGCTTGCCACCAAGCTTGACAACCTAAATTTGCTTCCTGGGACCCAACTCCTAGGCTAAGAAAAACTAGTTTTGATTGGGATTTATTATTTTGTTGGATTTTTTGTTTTATGTTTTTAAAGCTGCTTTTTAAAAAAGCTATCTGCCTACTTCTCTCAATCAGAATATTTTCCTTTTTCACAATGCAGTGTTTTAGGAAATTGTCCTATGCATGCTATTATAGAAGATGCATGCAGTTTATTAATTGAAAAGGAAAGTTGCAGAACAAAGTATACCATTTGAATTGTAAAAAGAAAAAATAGTGTGTTTAGGCAGTAGTATGTGCCTGGAAACATTATAGCACTCTTGAGATCACTGGTTATGGTCTAAAAAGAGTGAATGAAGGTGGGATGTACTAGATACTTCTGTATATTTGAGATTGTTGCAAGTATCTCTTGGATTTTAATATCTGGTTCTTATGTCCCTATTAGGTCATGAGACATGTGTGGAACTACTTTTAGAACAGGATGTTTTCCAGAAAATAGATGGGAATGCTTTTAGTCCATTGCATTGTGCTGTGTAAGTAAAGTCATAGTGAATCAAATTCCTTTTGGTGTTTTAAGAAACACTGTTACCATGGACTTGTCTTGTACCTTTTTCAGGATCAATGACAATGAAGGTGCTGCTGAGATGCTTATTGATACCTTAGGAGCCAACATTGTGAATGCCACAGATTCAAAGGGAAGGTAGGGTTCCAGTTAGTAGCACACGGTGTTTATTTGCATAAGAGAAAGCATTGTAATTTGACCATATGTTTGAGAGTTTATAGAGAACTCATATCTAATTGAAAACAAGACTTTTCAGATGTTGTAAATTATTATAAAGTCTTAAGTTTTTTGCATTATTAGGGCATTTAATTTTTTATCAATTTATTTTAAAATATAAATGTTACTCTCCTGATTTAAAAAGTATGATTTTAAACCCAAATAAAATTGTTCATAGTTCTCTAAACTAGATTAAAGGCTGAAAGAAGAGTCTAGCAATTGTAATATGTAGTAATTTCTGAGTAAATTATTTTTCCTTTTAAGTTTTCTTTAAAAATACAGTGTTATTTTAACAGTATTATATAGCTTATCCTTTTTTTAAGGCAAGTTGTAGTTTAAAATAGCTTTTATCAAGTACACATATCTAAAGTAGAAATTTGAGGTTCGTTGAACTTATTTGTGTTGAGGGTCCCACAATTTGTATCTTAGCAATGTTTTTATAACCTACTATGTAAACCCTTGAAAATTTTTTGTCCTGAATTAAGGAGTAATTTTTCAGTGTATGTGCTGTTTAGCTTTTGTTGTATATTTCTCTGTGTCCCAGAACTCCTCTCCATGCCGCTGCCTTCACAGACCATGTAGAGTGTTTACAGCTGCTGCTCAGCCATAATGCTCAAGTCAATTCCGTGGACTCCACTGGGAAAACACCCCTCATGATGGCTGCAGAAAATGGACAAACCAATACAGTTGGTAAAGAAACTGTTTAGAAAAGGGAGAGGCAGTAGGACTGCCTCAAGTGTGAGGTCAGCCTTGGCTGCATAGTTTCTCCATAAGAAAAGAGAAGTTCACACTTCAGTCCCAGTCCAGCTGGCCTTGGTGAACTCTCCTTAGATCAGTCCCCTTGTATCAGTGGGTGATCGCACCCCTCGCAGTCCTGATTTCCTTTTTCATGTTCTTCCTCCTTCTGCTCCTCGTTTGGACCTTGGGGGGCTCAGTCCAGTGCTCCAATGTGGGTCTCCGTCTGTATCGTCATCCATCGTCGGATGAAGGTTCCCTCTGGTCTTGCCTTCTTTGCTCACGTTCTCTTTCCTTCTGCTTCTCGTTTGGACCTAGGGAGTTAAGTCCAGTGTTCCAATGTGGGTCTCTGTCTCTATCTCCATCCATCACCAGATGAAGGTTCTATGGTGATAAGCAAAATATTCATCAGTATGGTTATAGGCCAAGGCCAGTTCAGGCACCCTCTCCTCTGTCCCGGATTCTCTGAATGTGGCTGGCCCGGAGTCTTTCTGAAAAGCCATTGACAATGACACTGGGACTTGTTTCCTCTGCATATACTGGATTTTTGGGATCCAGTCTGTTTGGATACTCACCTTCTTGGACCTGGAGCGGGGGGAACTTGAACTTCCCACAGGGCAGGAAACCCTGACTGCTCTTAGGGATGGAGAGGGAGGAGGAGAGGGAGTGGGGGGAGTGGGAGGGTGTTGGGAAGAGGGGCGGAAATGGAAACTTTTATAATTTAATAAATTTCAGACAGCTGGAAAAATAAATAAATAAATAATAAAAAAAAACAAAAAAAAAGAAAAGAAAAGAGAAGTTGTTTAGAACCTGGCTTAGTGTGAACCTATAAACTCGGCTACCAAAGAGCCTATCAGAAGATTGCAAGCATAAGCCCACTCTGGGCTAGGTAGTAAAACACAACCCATGTTGCTTTTTTTTTTTAAGCTCTTTAAGAATTCTGTTGTGTGTAACTTAGATCCCAGCCCTTCTGACTTCCATGAATTATCTCACCATTCCACATTTTCATTTTGGTTTATTGCCCTTACTGACTGAAAAGTTTTTTTTTTTAATCAAGGTGGTTTAACCTCATACAACACTGGCTCTGGAATCAGACTGCATGAGTGTGAGTCCTAGATCTTAAGTGACCTCTCCTGCCTCACTTTTTTCACTTGTAAAATGAGCAAAATGACAGCATCTACTTTAAAAGATTGATGTGAGGATTAAAGATAACCTGTAAGTCCAGGGCTATAAAACTTTGAACATTAACACTTCAAAATGTTGTTTATCGTTGTTAGGACATGATTTGCATAAGAAAATAAAAATTTGGGGGCTGGAGAGATGGCTCAGCGGTTAAGAGCATTGCCTGCTCTTCCAAAGGTCCTGAGTTCAATTCTCAGCAACCACATGGTGGCTCACAACCATCTGTAATGAGGTCTGGTGCCCTCTTCTGGCCTTCAGGCATATACACAGACAGAATATTGTATACATAATAAAAAATATTTTTTAAAAAAAGAATATAAAAGTTCTGTTTAATTGAATAGTAATACAATGTGTATGCTTTGTAGTATAGTGTTTTATTTGCAAGAGGGCTTTTTTTTCTGTATGTCTTCATCTCTCTACAGTAAGTTATTGATAGTCTAAGAATCATGTTCATAAACAACAACTGATGCATTTTTTTCCTCCCAGAGATGCTGGTGAGCAGTGCTAGTGCAGACCTGACTTTACAAGATAAAAGTAAAAACACCGCCCTTCACTTGGCTTGCAGCAAGGTTTGTACATAGTTTAAGGGTGTATTTTCATGGTTACTATTGAGTAGCATTAAGTTTTTCCAGCTCACTAAAATGAACAGAAGTCAGAAACAAGCCTAAGAATTATTAACCCTGAGTTTCTGGAGTGGGGTGGGAGGTGTTGGCTTACTAGGTTTTGAAATACGAGCTTAACACTTAGCTTTTATTAACCTGTTTTTTATTCACATTTCTGATACCTTTGAATAAATACTTCAGACATTATCTTAGAAAAATTGTGATATGTGTGTAATATTGTTTAGAGATAGTTGAGTTGATGTGTTTATTCTTAATAGTTCACTGTTTTTAAGATCTGTCTGCCACAATTTTAGGGTCATGAAACTAGTGCCTTGTTAATACTGGAAAAGATAACAGATAGAAACCTCATCAATGCAACCAATGCAGCCTTGCAAACGTAAGTACTTTGAGTATCTGGGTAAACTTAGTGATCTCTATAATTCTAAAAAAGGATAAAATGTGACCAATAGTATAGATCAGTTACAAACTGTTTAAATCATATAACTAAAAGCTCTATTACTTAAAAAGATTTTTGATATTTGAACTGAAACTTTTACAACATTGATGGATTTTTTTTCTTAGTTTACGTTATAATTTTCTAAAGGAAGGTAGTTCTAGTCTGCGTTATCATAATCATCTGAAAGATACCATTTCATACTAGCAGTAAATGAGGTGAGAAGCACTATCTCTCTCTCTCTCTCTCTCTCTCTCTCTCTCTCTCTCTCTCTCTGTGTGTGTGTGTGTGTGTGTGTGTGTGTGTGTGTGTGTGTGTAAATTTAAAGAGGTTTCAGAAAGAATCAGTCTCTTGGAATAAGCAGTAAGTCTTGAATTTGACTCGCAGAAAGAATCAGTCTCTTGGAATAAGCAGTAAGTCTTGAATTGACTCGCAGAGAAAATAGGCCCATGTCTCCCATCTTTGTCTTCCAATTTCCATTGATTTTAAAAAAGAAAAAAATGCTATTAATCGTTCACATTGTGGGTTCAGTCAAATCTCTCAAAGGCCCAAATCTTAGTCATGGGGGCCAATAAACATCTTTTAAAGATTATTAGAATTTGTAGTATTGCTATTTATAGCTTTTATTATATATTTGTTCACTTCATTGCTTAATAAGTTAAGGCTGTAGTTCACTTAGTCCCAGTGGACAGCTCCTTAAACCTAAGATTAGGGAACATTGTGGATGAGGGGACTGAAGGTAAGAACCAAAGGGTCATGGAATATCTTGTGAGAATGTGTCTTCTTGTAAGGTCATAAGCTACACTCATAAAGTCTTGCCAACATAACTGCCTCAACATGACCTGAATAAGGGCAACAACAATAACCTTGACAGAGTGGATCAGGGAAACCCAAGAGGTGTCAACCGCTTACAAAGAACTATTGGTTCCTAAGGAATGCTGAGGGCAGAGAAATGGTCTTTTCCAAGGAAGACTACACTAATTCAGTACCAGTTGTCAGACCTGAAAACATACATACAGTATATGCAAGTAGCATTATATAGACTGAACAAGTTATATTTAGTAATATACCTATATATGCTTATATATATGGGAGAAAAATAAATGAAAAAAAAAGCAAATGAATTTGAAAAAGCACAAAAATGGGAGTATATGGGAGGATTTAGAGGAAGCAAAGGGAAGGGGAAATGATGTAATTATAATAAAACTTCAAAAGTATAAGAAATTTTACCTCTTTTTAAATATGGAGTCTTGGAAGGTACAAAGGGTTTGATGAGGCCAGGAAACTACTACTGATGTTTGAGGTGTTGCTGTCCGTCCTACTTCATTGTTTTAGAACTGGGTGTCTTGGAGTCTTATCTCTAGATCTTCACAACTTGATCAAATGCTCTTTGCAGCCAGCTGTGTGTCTATTCATGCAGTGCACATATACGTACAATTTTCTCCCACAGGCCTTTGCATGTTGCTGCCCGAAACGGGCTAACAATGGTTGTTCAAGAACTTCTGGGGAAAGGAGCAAGTGTACTTGCCGTCGATGAAAATGGTAAGTTCTGTGCGCTTTCCGTTGACCAATTTCTTGGTAGAAGTTTTTCTCTTGATGGTGTATTTTTGAAGTTAAATGAAGTTTGATTCTTTTAAGTAAAATGAAGTTCAATACTTTTTTATTGGGCAAAGAAGAGTGCTGAAATAAATATTGAGTTCCTTGTCGTAGATAAATAAGAATAAAAAACAAGAAAGTCATCTGTAGGTGAGCTGCTGAATTAATGTATCGTCTGTTAAGCCAAATTTGATGTTCACTATTTGGTCACCACTATTACTCAGTTGGTAGCCAAAGATTTTGTTATTTCAACAAATATTTACCAAGGCCCTACTAAAATATCATATTCTTAGGCAAAACCAGTAAGTAGTTCTACTCTTAATTAGGTTCTGTTACTTTTCCTACTAGAGACTATGCTCAGTTGGTAGTTCCACCTTGGTCCCACTCCTCCCCGTTCCAGACTCCGCCCCTGTCCAGTCTCCTCCCCGAAGGTCAAGACTGTACCTGCAGGATATTTAGTCCCTGTCCCTAGACCACATGATTTCTCCTCCTTCCTTACCTCACCTCTGGATACCTGGGAATGTCAGCCAAGAATGATTAGCTCATTAAACCTGGTCTTTTTAAATTATCTTGATCTGGCTTATTGCTCTGGTGGAGAAATCTATTATCAAGGTACCAAAAATATCTGTCAACTATCACTTTAGCAACTGCTCCTTGTCAGTATGCCACTTTATATGTGGCATTGCAATCAAATCCAGGGCCTTGTGCTTATTCTGCAAGTACTCTGCCACCAACTGCACCCCAGTCTCCCCCATCAACATTAAGGTATTAGTTCTTCCACGGTAGCAATCACTAATCTCACAGCTGATGCCAGCTCCACTATATCTCTGTCTTCCACTGCAGCAAGGATGACTTTCTATAGGCAGGCCTTTGTCCCCACCACATTGTAGAACTCTTCTCACCAAGGTTCTTGGTTCTCCACAGTATTAAGTCAGTTTTTGTTTAACTTGGCTGGTCAGCTTTTAGTATATGATTACTCTTTTTCTCTTGGTAAACTTCCTTTACTTGGCTTTTAGGGATTCCACACTTATGTAGAGTTCTGAAGTCTAATAATCCCGTTCCTTATTTTCTCTGTCTACATTTACTGTGTAGGTGACTACTCTAACCCTTGATTCTGAACATTATTTGCTGAGACTTCCTACATTTATGTTGCCAGCCCATACCTTCCCCTGTGTCTGTCTGCATTCATATATCTAACTGCTGAATTCATAATACCTTACAGATGTCTAGAATTGTCAACCCCTTTTCCTTACCCACTCTAAACTTACGCTTCCAAACCTGATTTCAGTTGAAGACGGGTCTTCTCTTCATAGCTCGAGGCAGGAATTTGAATTGTCCTTGGTTCTACTGTACACTCCATCAGCAAATGCAACTGATTATATTTAAAGTAAATCCCATATTTATCCATCTTTCTCTCTGCTTTCCCACCCTCCACACACAAATACCTTTAAAACATATAATAACATATTTCTCCTGTCAGTTTATTCATAGTTCTCACAGTGACCTACAAAGTAGTCCACTCTTATGACCTTTCTGCCTCGCTTTGTCCCTCCTACGAAACTACCCCAAGTTTGTGTGTGTGTTATAGTTTTTGCTTTAGCTGTTTTTTCTGGCAGGAACACTCTGATCTGCAAGTATTCTTTAACCAAATCCTTAACCTATTTCAAATCAGATTTCATCTCCATGAAGCTTTACCTCACTAATTAATTGTATTATGGCATTCTTAGTCCCAGTTAGCCTATTCGTCTTTATTCTCAATAAAGCTTATTATATAGTCTAACTTACTGAATATGATGTACTTTTCAATACTGATGTGTGTATCTCCTCTATTAGAATGAAAACACACTCCATAAAAGCAGAGAATCTTTGTCATCTGTATTCTGTATTCATTGATGTTTCTAAGTGTCAAAAGAATTTGGGAGTTCAGTGGATATTTGTTGCATGTTTAATTATGTCAGAACTGTTAAGTCTAAGACTTCCGTGTGGAATAAATGTGACGTAGTCTACTCCCTATAAAGGAGCATTAAAGAATCTTGACCATTCCTTATAAGATCAGATAAAAGACATTCCAAATAGCAGCAAGTGGGGAGGAAACTTTTTTTAATTGGTAATTTTTTTTCATATATTTTGATCATGTTTTCTCCTCCCAATTCTCCCAGATCTTCCCTACCTTCCTACTCACCCATTTTATGTTCTCTCTCTCTCTTCCCCTCTCCCCATCTCCTTAAAAATAAACAGAAAACACACAAACACACACAAACAAAATATGAAAAATGGAAATCTATAAGCAAAAGACCAAGAGGATGAAAAAAACCAAAGCAAATGAGACAGAATGTCTACAAAAATACATACAAAAATATTTAAAAATACAAAAGTATTGATTATTGGCCAACTACTAACGGTCATGGGGCCTGCCCTGAAGTGTGGCTAATATACTCAGTGAAGCTAGTGAAGAAAACTAATTTTTTTCTTTGCCAATGGTTTTAAATTGCGGATTGCTCCTGAGTTAGAGGTGGGAGCTCTATCTACTTTCCTTTCTCAGCGCTTGAACCCTATCTGGCTTGAAATGTTGGGCTTTGTTTATGCTCCCACAACCTCATAATTCATATATGCATCAGTCTTGTTGTGTCTGGAAGATATGTTCCATGGAGTCATCCATCTTCTATGGCTCTTTGAGGGGTGGGGAGGAGTGGGGTCTACAACAGGGTTTTTCTGTGTGACACTCTGGCTGTCCTGAACTCAACTCTGTAGACCAAGCTGGCCTCCTCTGACTCTTAGAACCTTTCCCACCTCCTCTTCCACAGAGATCCTTGAGCCTTTGAGGGGAGAGGACATCCCATTTAGGATTAAGTACTTTAAAGTCCCTCATCTGCACTTTATCCAATTGCAAGTTTCTGTGTTAGTTTGGAAGAGAACCTTCTAAGCTGAAAGAGTAATAAGCCTGTTGAGAGATAGAACCTGAGGTGAGTGTAAGCATTAAGTCAGCTTGTTAGGAGCCTAAGCATTAGAAAGATGGCAGTTAGTCTGAAAGGGGAACAGCAAGACTAGAATGGGGAAATAAGAGAGGCATAGATAGCCACCAGCATTGAGTTGTGTACTTAGAATGAAAAAATAATATTTTCTAGAGTGTATGATCATAGGTTCTTTGGAATTTGGTAAAGGAGTGAGATTTTGTAGGTGAAGTTATACTCACTATGGCTTGGGAAGCTTCTGTGGATGACACTTTAAATGGCATTGGGCCAAGAATACCCTATATTACATTTATTTGGGGACATAGGGGAAACCTGAATGAAAGTGAGCAATTAAATGTATGGATCTGAAGCACAAAAGCAAACTAGATATTTCTAGGAATACAACTACTTATATAAATTAAAATGAGGGCCACACTGTGCACATTATGATAACTGCCGATATGTATTACTTTGTTTGCAGGAATTCATATTGCCTTTTTAAAAATAAAAAAGAAAGGGGAACAATTGTATTTTAATCATGAAGGCTAATAATCCTTCATCATCTTCATCATCATCATAATGAAAATATTGAAGAGGTGGAAACAGCCAAATGTGCAGTAGTTAAATGTATATATTGCAGTATTATCATATTAATGAATAGTATACAACAGTGAAAATTAGGTGACTATAGTTGCCTGCTACAATATTAGGTCTCATACATAATTAAGCAAAAGAAGTCTGATTTTAAAATGTGTATACTATATGCTTCCATTTATATTAGGTTCAAAGAAACTAAGTAACAAGGAAATAGTTACCACAGAAGGAAAAGGTCAGGATAGTGGTTACCAATGTGGAGAAAGAAATGACATGTAGTATTCTTGGTGTACTGGCAATGCTCTCTTTCTATGTTCTTTCTTGTTCTGACTGGTGACTGTATCAATATTTGGTGTGTGAAAAATCTGTTTTAAAAACAAGCCTTTTATAATCCATATGTATGTGGGTACTGAAATGTAAGCATAATAACATGAAAAATAATGCAATAATAAATGAAGCTATAGGCTAAAATTAAAAGATATCTGTGGCATTAGCACTTTTTGCCTCCACATGGCTTAAAACAAGTAAAAACAAAGCTTCATATGGAATAATTGAAATGTCATCACACATTGTCTCACCATTTTCTCCCACTTCATCCACAAGGCTAGTTCTTTGCCAAGTAAGGTACCACATGCTTCTCTGTTGCTTGCCCATTGATTCTTGCTTTTGGGATACTTTATATCTGAGGAAGCTTTTCTGCTAAGATAAAAGGAAATAATTTGTCTTAGATTTTGGGCTTTTAACATTTGCCATTTTAGTTTATCATTTTTCTTGTATGGATATGTCTGCCTAGCAGACCTCAGGAATCCATAAGTGCACACCACAGTACATGGTGTAGCTCAATGAATGAAGGTCCATGAGAACCTGTAGTAAAGGTTAACAAATGTTTATTGGGGAACACTCACAATGGAAAGCCACTGCGAATGGAACTCTGACTACCAACCAAGCAAAAGGGATAAAAAGGGGACCAAACATGCTTCCTGTCTGTGCTTAAAGTACCTCAGACCACACCCTAATGAGCTGGTATCTAAAAGGCTATTGGAATTGGCTGAATTATTTCCTACAACACCCTGGTTTGCTTACATGGATTCTGGGATTGAACTTAGATTCTCATACAAGGTACTTTACCTACCGTAGTCTTCATCTGAGGCTGAATGACAAACACATTAGGAAAAGTTGTCTCTTAATAATTCATTTAGTATGTAGTTAGTGAATAGCTCTTTAATGCTTAGTTCATCTACACATTTAGACTCAGCATATAAAAGTTGACGTACACAGATATGAATGACAGTAAGCCTTGGCTCACTGTTTTAAATGAAGATTGACTAATCTGTGGTTTTGTTGAGGTTTTTTTTCTTCTCCTTATTCTAAGAATACCCAGTTTTTTCTGAGTTGGATGTGTGAGTTGTGAGATGTTGGGGAAAGTGTGCATCATGAGGCCCTAGTTTCTTCTTTTATTACTCAGTGTGAACACTCTCCTACTCTGCATTTTTATGATCGTGTCTCTTTCTGCTTGCTAGAAAGTTGTGAATCAATCTGCTGAAAGAATTTGTTGTAATTCATAGAATCTATGTGTAAAGTTTAAGACCTTTAGACTTACTACCTCATGCTTCATGGATCTTAGGATATTAATTTTTATATTTTAAATTGAATCCTAGGCTATACCCCAGCTTTGGCCTGTGCTCCCAATAAGGATGTGGCTGACTGCCTGGCTCTCATTTTGGCCACCATGATGCCTGTCTCGTCAAGTAGCCCATTGTCATCCCTGACATTCAATGCCATTAACCGTTATACCAACACCTCAAAAACAGTTAGCTTTGAAGCCTTGCCCATCATGAGGAATGAACCTAGCTCCTATTGCAGTTTCAACAACATTGGTGGGGAACAAGAGTACTTGTACACTGACGTGGATGAGCTCAACGATTCTGATTCTGAGACCTACTGAAAGGCTGAGCTAAAGGTTGAAGGAAGTTTTAACACTGAAACTTCAAACTGGGCTTTTTCAGGAAAAAAGCACTTTTCTTACTCATACACAAATTCATCCTGAAGAAAGATCACGCAGTGAATGGATAGAAGAAATGTGATGACATTAGGAAGAAGAATCTGAAAGGCAAGTTTTGCAAAAGGAACTTCTAGAATCTTAATAATGACTTGAAAAGTGGAAAACACATTGATGTCGATTACTTTGTGGGATTGTTTAATTGGCTTTTCAGTGCCAGAAATTGCGACACTGCTCCCTGTTTTGCATATACAGGCAACACTGCTGTAAAGGAAGAGATAAAGACACTAGGTTAAATTTACCCATAAATTTACAGCTAAATTTAAATGCAATAAAAGTTTGGTATAGTAGGCATTATGTACACACCAAATTGCCAAAGGACCAAATAACGTACAGATTTTTCTTAGAACGCCGTTCTGTGGAAATAGAAGTAGGTGAAATGAGACATCATCTAAAAGCAAACCAATACTTCTGAAAATGGAGCTAAGATTTGGTTTGGTGTTGATTTCTGTAAAGAAAACATCTAAAAAGCCTCCCAGTGCTGCATTAATCCATGAGAGAAAGCAGATGTCTTTTTATGTTTTTTTAACATAAAAATTTTAAGATTCTAGTTTTTATAGAATTCAAAAGCAGCTGACTAGGTACAGTGTAAGTGGATATAGACTAGGTCAAGGCTACTACTGCCCACTTTTGAGTGTTTGGTTTTAAATTGAATTACTTTTATTTAAGGAATTCCATAGGGGAAATTTTTTTGATGAAATTAAAAATCAGATTATTTCACCTGTTGTAGCCCAGTGGTCCTGGGGAGTAGAGCTGGTTAAGCCTCTGCGGGGTGGCACACCTCCACCTTGGGTTGGAGGACTTTCATTGTCACTTACTAATCTTTGAACTTTGCAAAGCAAGAATCAAAATAATAAATTTTAAATTCTTGTTATGAGAGATCATCTAAAGCTGGTTTTAAATTGTATAAAAACTGGAATTTTAAAGTTTTTATGTGACAGAAGACATCTGCTTTTCTCATGGTTTAATATAGCAGGAAGGCTTTCAGATATTTTCTTTCTTTTCTTTTTTTTTTAAAGATAGGATTTCTCTGTGTTGCTCTGGCTGTCCTGAAATTCACTGTGTAGATCAGGTTGGCATTGAATTTAAGAGATCCACCTGCTTCTGTCTCCTGAGTGCTGGGAATAAAGGTGTGCCACCATGCTTAGCTTCAGGTGTTTATTTTCTTTATAAATTTCAACAAACCATTTGGCTTCATTTTCAGAAGTACTGAAGTTTGCTGTAGATGATGATTTCTAACATAAACAGAATCAAGTCACCTGGAAGGCATTTCTATATTAGGTAGAATTTAAAATACTTGAGGCTTTGGGTTCGACTCAGATCTAGTAGAGTAGCATGTTTGCAGCTTGTTGCTGTCGGAGAAAGATTGCCTGCCAAATTGAAGACTGCCTTTCAGGTAATAGAGAAGGGGCTGAGCTGACATTAGGCTTTTAAGTAACACTTCTCTGTGATTCTGTTTTACTATAGCTGTCACTTTCCCAGTAAAAATAATTTCACATGGGAGGGGGGTTCTTAATAGAGCCGGATAAAGTTCCATACATTGCAACAAACTGATACCCAATTCATCTTATCCTTTTTGTATTGTGAAACTGGAACTTTATGACATTGTAAATTATCAGCTGGTTTTTCTGAATATAAAGTGTGAAAACACAGAACAGTATTTTGATCTTTGATAATTTTGTGGGTTTTTTGAAAAATTAATGAGCATGTACATAGAGATAGTGACTGCTTGAATACTGTATTTACTGCACTCTTTCAGTACATCAAGATTCCTGTATATTTTAGAGTATAATAAAACACAGATGTGAGTTGTATTTAATGAATAATGTATTTGTATCTGTGCATATTACTTAAAAATCTATAAAGTTTCTAGGGCATTGACTACTAGATTTTAAACATTTTTTTTCTAAAATATTTACAAAATTATAATCTCCATCTTTTCTTTATATATAAAGAAGTTGTAATGAACCCTTCCTAACTAATAGTGGTAGGAGGGTAAATACACATTTTAAAGACTCTAGACTACATTTTCTATTGTACCTTTAAAGAAAAAACTCAAAAGGATTTTAAAAGTATACCATATGTGTGCTTTCTCTTTCCTTTTAGGAATTCTCTTCTGAATTCCCTGAGGGAATTTTCTAGAATCTCAGAATTGAAAGAGACCTGAGGTTCATCCAGTCTAACCTCTTAACAAATGCAGGCGTCCCTTCTCCAAGGTTGTCTTTCCACCTTGAACACTTGCAGTGACTCTACCTCACAAGCAGTGCGTTCATTGTTGAGCAGCTCTGTTAGGAGGGCTCCTTAACGGAGTTGAAGCCTCCCTCCCGGTAACTCCTGTCCTGGGCCCAGCTCTGTCCTCAAGAGAGTGTGGAAGACTGAATCTTCCACCCTCTGCCACGTCTTCTCTTTCACAGGCTGTTGACTCCTTTGCTGATGTGATTTCCAGAAGGACTTGTTAGACACACTGTCTCCACATCTAATGACATCCAAGATGTAGCTATAAAGTAACAAATTCATCTTTTAATTTATCATCATATGTATGTAGAGACCATAGATTCTGCCTCACTTTATATAAATGATGCCATAACTGGAAACATTCTGGAGGTGGCTTGTGCTGTTGCTGGCCAACTAGAAAAGCTGTTCCTTTGCTTTGTGGTATTTTGTCTCTGGCTTGAGCAACTCACTTCCTTTGGTATGCACCAGAAGAGGGAAATTCTGAAGTACTGTCCCAGAAAGTGTTGACCAACCCCAGTATTTGGAATAAATACACGAGCAAAGCACAGCACCCTAAGTTATTTTATAGTTGACATACATCTAGTGTGCAAAACCCCTGGACCTGGTTCTGTTGTGTTTTTATCCTTGCCCAGAAGGGAAAAGCCTGTCAGCCTTTAACTTCTGTGTGAAAGGTGATATCTGAAATACATGTATTACAGTACTACCAGCTTTTGCTCAAAAACAACTTTGGGGAAATAGTGATGATAGATGACCTCAAACAGTGCCATTTAGTTCAGGAGATCTCTAAATGTAGCTATAAATTTGGGGTTAATTTGGCTTCACATATTGGATCTTTTCAATGAAATAAAAAATTTTTAATGCAAAAAATCAAGTGTCTTTCTTTTTTGCATGTAAAGAATGTTTCCCTTTAAAATGTACAGTGATAAATTATGGCAGGATTTCAGACAAGTGTTTTTTCATGTTGTTTCTGGGTCTTAAATAGTCCAGGATGGATTCCTGGTCATTCTTCCACCTCCAAGTGCTGAGATTACAGGTATGTGCCTCCATGCCCATTTCTGACTTTTGTCCTTAAAAATTTAGTGACTTTTTAAATAAAATTAGACTTTTGAATTTATCTAAATGAATCTTTCAAATGTACTAAGTATTTATTCCTTACCTGCTATGTACCTGGGGGTAGCAATGGGTAGTTTGATCCTGAGAACAGATGGTGATAGAATACGATTGAGATAAACTGCTGAAGAAAGCAGAAACAGGACACCTTGAAAAGACCTTTGTGGAGGAGGTGGCAGAGAGATTGGACATCAAGAACAAATCTGATTTAAGCAAGTGAAGAAAGGCTAAGTGATTTCCTTGGTTCCAGAGCAGAGCGAGTGGGCCTCAAAGTGCTTGGAAGATGGTTATGTGGGGATGCAGTGCTCTTCAACACTTAGCGTTCCAGAGTGTGAGACTATAAGAAACTATATGGAGCTTAGATAATAAGCACAAAAACAGAGATTTTAATAGCTGGTTGGAGCAACAGATAAAGGGGGCTTTAATCTTTTTTGTAATCATATCTGTAGGTAACAGTAATAGGCCAGTACAGCATTTATCATGTGCAGGCAAAGCCGTAAATACATTATCCCTTAATCCCCATAACTGAGATAGGTACTATTAATAGCATTTAACAGGGTGTTAGTTTTTAAAACCTGAATTTAAATTCAGGCAGTCCTCCATTGCTATGATCCTTTAATGTCTCTTAACATGTTTGCTAATTTTCTGGTTTTTATCTTGACGTCAAAATTGTTAAGTTCCCTTTAGTTTTAGTTTTATTCTCATAGGTCACTATTTTTAGAACAGACAGAAATTTGGTCACAGCCGTTACTGAACACCTGCTACTTGCAAAGGAACTGAGGCTCTGGATGTAGAGAGGTAAGGGAGGATGTAGTGTCATTCACCCTGTGATGGAGTGGCTCCAGAAAGCCCACCACCTGTTCACCTCTTAAGCACCCTATATCTCACTTGCTTAGAATAAGCCTCATGTTTGCAAGTTGGTTGATAAAGGTTTCTTAGAGTGACTGCTTCAAGCTGGGGCCAATGCAGGACTTTGCCACCTTTTAGGAGCTGATCTTTGTTCGTTTTATCTGTATTCACTCTTGAGCCTGGGTTGAAATATAAGAAGTTAAATGTAGGGTTTTCATGAGCCTGGAAGGAATTCTGACCACACCATCATGATTTGTGCCCTCTGTATATCACATCTCCTGTCGTCCCATTGAACTTAACAAGTGGCATGGCAGGATAGGAGAGGCTGGTGGGTGCAGCTCCCGCAGTCACAGTCCTGAGATGCTTGTGCCAGCTGGTGGTTGCCCTTGTAAGTCTATTTCATGCCTGTTTCTTCTTTGTTTTTATGCTCCCTGTCCTGTTTGTTTCCTTGGACACAGGGTCTTACTATGTATCCTAAATTGACATCAACCTTGTTATCTCCCCATCTCAGCCGGAGTGCTTCAGTTACAAGTATATACTGCCACTATGCTCAGTTCTTAACTCCCTGCTAGTGTGGGTGGGATCTGGAGCTGGAGAAGTTTGGAGAAATCCACTCTTCTCCAAAGGTAGGGAACCAACTTCTGCCTGCCTCAACCTCCAGAAGAGCCTAGTCTTCTCTGTAGTTCTTACTGTGATCATTCTTTCCAAAGCAGAGGCTAGACTAAAGAAAGATCATAAAGTTTGCCTAGTAGCTGCTTTTTAAAATAAGAAAAGATGGTTATGTACAATGTTGTCTACTGCTGGTTCTCTATCCTTCAGCACTTTTTGTGTCTCCATCCCTGCCTCATTCTCTGAGTGGTTTTTTATTTCCTTCTGGTTACTCACTCTTGCATTCTGCCTACTGGATTTGATGTTGTTTTTAAAGAAAGAAAAATGCCTTTTAGCATTCATTGTAGATAATGGGTTTGCTATATTTCTGTCTGGTGTTTTGATTAGATTTTAAAACAGAAAATTTAAATGGTGATTTAAGCTTAAAATATTTCTTCCTCTCTTCTTTAAACCTAAAATAAGTTTTCAGTTATAAAGCTTATTTCCCACACTCAACAAACATTTTAAAGCACACAGTAATTCAAAAGCATGATCTTAAATCCTGAATGTGCACTGGGACTAGGTGAAGTACTTATCCTCAAAGTGATGTGCTTGGTCAGACAGGTAAAACGTCCAGATAATTACTTGCCAGAAAAAGATTTGAGAGTAATGCTGATGGAATCCTGTTGTGCGAGAGAAGCCCTTGAGGATGAGAAGGTCGCTTGTTGATACACTAAAGATTACACAAATATTTCTGGTGTAAGGAGACAAAAGATGCTGCTGAATATGTAGATGAATGTTCAGACTCCTGGTAGCAGTAGAGGATGGAGATGCTGGCTAACCCATCAATACCAACCACAGCACATCACAGATTCACCCAAGAACCTTTTATCCTTTGCTTTGTTGTTGAATTTTTTGTTTTGGTTTTTTGTTTGTTTGTTTGAGCTGTACTGTGGCTTGAACTCAGCCTCAGATGCACTAGACAAATGCTCTACCCCAGAGCATTCTTCGATTTTCTTTTGAGCTAGTTTGTTGAGTGTAAGCCCTCTTTGAATGCCCCTGACTGTACAGTATTAACTTGCTTTGCCTCCTGATAGCCGTAAAGATGGCACAACACTTGAGTTGGAGAAGCACTGTTTCCTAAAGCATGAGCCTTATACAAATAAAGGATGGGTAAGAACATCAGGTAAGTTGGTTCTTTTCTGATCCTCAAAAACATCAGCAGGCACTGTGACTAGTAGACTCTGATCTAACAGAGACAAATGCACATTTCATATGGACAGGAAAACTTGCCACTTCTGCTGCTTTGGTAACCTGGCGTGAGCCCACATTCTGGTCACTAAGGCATAACATATGTGAAAGAAAAGTTCTTTGTAGTTCTTAAGGATGACGCCTCAGAGCAGGAAATGCCAAAACCCAAGAGAATGGATGATCCAAGGCAAAGTTGCATCTGGAGGAGAGTGATCTTTCACTGAGCAGCTGTGAATGTTAATAGTAATGGGTGTGGGGGAGTGTGGTGGTGCACCCCTTTGATCCCAGCACTAGGAGCATGGGGAAGGGGGAAGGCCCTGCAGTTGCCTGCAACTCTGATGTAGGAACAGGACATGAGAGCTGCAGTCAAAGGTTGGGCATTGGGGCCTGGGTTCAGGACTCTCGTCTCCATGCTTCCCCAGTGTTGGACTTCTGTGGAGTTATGTGCCCAGAGCTGGCTGGAGGCTGAGTGTTCAGGGAAGGGGCCTGTGCTTCACTAGAAACATCCAAGCCCTGGAATGAAAGATGGCCAGGACCATAGGAGTGTCCAGGTGAGGCACCTGAGAGCCTTGAATGGCAGATGCCTCACCAGTTGACTTTCTCACTGCTGGCTTAGCGCTGTACTGTTGCTTGTGTTCTGACTCCAACAAAGGTGATAAGAAAAGGAACCATTTTCCATCAGGGAGGTGGTGACCAGAGACTAGCATATTCCTGTAGTGGACTGCATGCTGCAGGTACTCAGTTCCAAATATTTACTATGAGGCATGGAAACTCCAAATGTGCACATTGTGGCCAGGCTCAACAAAGATCTGGGCTAACTAATGTGTTTGTGTGCATCAGTTCAGAAACCTATAGTCAGTATAGAGAATTATATGTCCAGTACAGTTACTAGAAAAGCATTTGCCATATGACAGTGAAGAAGGCAGAATAAGCAGTTCTGAAATTTGCTTCCAAAGAAGTATTGACAAAATATGTCAGAATCTAATTTCTCAAAAGTGGACATGAATGGCTGCTATCAACCTCCAGTGTGTGTGTTTAGGAAAAAATAGGGACTGTAAGAACAGAAGTGCCCCAGCCTTTGACTGGCCACATCCCTCACTCTCCAGCTCTGTGGTAGCTTAGAAACTCATAGTTCACATTTTTGATGCCACCTGGCATCCCTCACTCTCCAGCTCTGTGGTAGCTTAGAAACTCATAGTTCACATTTTTGATGCCACCTGGAAACCACTAGACAGCAAAACAAAGCCAATACTCTTTTAAAGCAATGTTCCCATTTTTGCCCTGTGTTCAAAGTCCTAATCTTGCTCTTTGACACTTAACAATAAAGTATCAGAACCAATGATAGAAAGATTGGAGCTGATGCATCCACTTTTCTACCTGAAGATATCCCTACCAGTTAAGCAGTGATGGGAGACTAGCAGGTGGAAAATCAGCAGTCATAGTTGATCTCCAGCAGCATCAACTGCTGCACAAAGTAGACAACTTTTGTAGGTTACACTAGCAAAATACACACTCATCCAAACCACACCAAATAGACTGAGTTCTGGAAACTAGAACATCCTTTAGCAGACTTAAAACTGCAGAAAATATATGGAATCTTGGTGTGGGACAATGGTCGGTATTCTTGCAATTTTATTTTAAACACTGATTGGCCAGTCACCAGACAAGAAGTATAGGCAGGACAACCAGACAGAAAGTATGGACTGTGGGGATTTTCCTTTGTTTAGGATATTGGTTACAAGTTGTTATAGCTAATGGTCAGGAGAAAAGCTAAACAAAGGATATTAGATTTAGAATTCTTGTTGTTTTTTTTTTTAAAAAAAGGAAGTGGTATGGGACAATGGTCTGTATTCTATCAATTATATTTTAAATAAACACTGGTTGGGCAGTAGCCAGACAAGAAGTAGAGG